CAAGTGGCCATTGTACTGAAGGGAATTTTACAGTGATCTCAGAGAGAGGAAAATGCAATAGTTTTGTAGAGATTTTCAAGGAACGTGCCCCAGGCTGAAATGACAGTTTGGTGAAAAAGAAGGCTCTGGGTTGGAAAACAAGACAAATGAACAACTAGACATAGTTACTCCAAGATCTGGGATGTGAGATAGCAATTTTTGGGAAAGAATCTCCAGTGGCAGTATGTGTTTTGTAGCTCCTGCATACAGGGAGACACATGGTCACTGCTCCAAGCCTGCCAGAGGTCAGGAAGTGTTTGGATGATACTCTCAGGCACATCGGGTGACTCTTGGGGAGGGTCCTGTGCATGGCCAGGAGCTGAACCTGATGACCCTTGTGGGTCCTACCCAGCTCAGCACATTCTGTGATAACTGTTTTTGAAGTGATTGTCATGGTTTTGGAACAGTATTCTCTAATTTAATGCTCCCACTAAAACCACCCAGTGCTCCCCCTCCAACTGGAGGCACAAAAGGCTCCGCCACATTCTGAGATGGAAGGAACCCATTCTCCCTGGAACAGACTGTTCTCACCCAAAAAACAAATCCCTTTGAGGGACACATCATGTTTCCCCATCTCTCTGCAGCACCCACCAAGTGCACCCAAGTCCTTGAGCAAAAACAGCCCCGCGGGTGGGTTTGCCTTTGCCTGAGGCAGGACTAATCCAAACTGTCTTCCCTGACACATTCCTCATATTTATCACAGGGACTTTATCCCCTCCTGTGGTAGGTGGAGGTCCTGACTGGGCAGGGACAGCTCTGTTGGTGGAGCCTTGGGTGTGCACTACTGACCAGGTGGCCTTGGCTAAATGTAGGTCCTGATGTTTGAAGTCCCACCATCCACTGCTTTCCATGTGGTTTTTAACAGTCCATTGTCCCGTTCAGCTTTCCCAGGGGCTGGTGCATGACAGGGAATGTGATCCACCCCCTCAGTGCTGTGCTCTCTGCCCAGGTGTCTGTGAGGCTGTTTTTGAAACGGGTCCCATGGTCCGACTCCGTTCTCTCTGAGGGCCACAGGACTTGCTTTCCCAGGCCCAGGATGGTGTTCCAGGCAGTGCCACGAGGCACACGATGCGTCTCCAGCTGTCCAGGGGGTGTTTCCACCATGGGCAGCACAGAGCCCTTTCCTTGGTGGTTTTGGGCAGTGGATGTAACCAACCTGCCAGGCCCCTCCCCAGCACTGACACAGAAGGGACAAGAAAATGCAGAACTCTGTCCATGTTCTGGTAGTGACTGGACAGGGATAAGGAGATGTCAGAAGCATAAATCACATACCCACTTCATACTCTCTATCCAGACTAGAATAGGTGGCAACTGGTTTGGAGCATCCATAGAGCAAAGGTAGTGACAGTCAAATTTGTGAATAATACCATGCAGGGAGAGGTTTAAAAAGGAAAGGGCTAAAAATAGATAACTTTGTACAATATAGAAGGCTGAGGGGTGATCCTTTGAGTAAAAAGCTGAAGTAGCAGTTTGTAAAGTAGTGGGATAATAAGAGAAGAAAACTCATGATACACAAAGCTTTCTTTCAGAATTCAGTAGAATTCTTCATTTTCTTGGTTACACAAATGAAGTTAATGTGGTGGCAGAATACACGAAAGAGCCAAAAAGAAAGGTAGAGCAGAAAAAAGGAATAAAGAAACTTGCTTTAGGCAACTATAATGGCATGACAGGAGCACAGGATTTTACAGCGAAGTATCCAGGATACCAGAGCAACATCACAGAAAAATGGCACAGAAAATTTCAAAAATTATCTGTGAAGGAGTAATTGTCAAAAAGGAGGAATAATACATCATTATCCCCTCCAAAATAGCATTTAGATGAGCAGGGTCAGTAGGCCAAGTTCTGGCCTCAATTATTGCATTGGTTTTCACTGCAGATTTAATTTGTGTTTGAGACCTGAATTCAGCCCAGTGTAAAACCAACTTGCTCCTGGTGCCTGGAAGGAACAAACTGTCTTATGGACAGTAGTGAAGGCAGCTATGAAAGCTGTCACTGTTCATCAGACAGATGTATCTTAAATCACTGGAGAGTGCAGCTGGTTGGAAATCTGCGTTTAACAAGTGGGGACAGTGCTCTGAACATGGACGTGGAAGGTGTAAAAGCACTGATTTAACCTGAGGGTGCTTTGGAGGAAAGAGCTGGGCTCTGGGAGCAGCCCCTTTGCTCACAGGGTGGGAGGCACCGACACTGTGCCTGTCCCAGTGTGTGCAGTGAGCCAGGCTGGCTACACCAACCCACCAACCATGGGGCACCTCTGCCCACGCTGCTGTGACACTCCCTGGCCACGGCACCAGCCCCTGGCAGGGGCTCCCTGCAGTGGAGGAGACAACCTTGTGCTGTCCTCAGGCCCTGTGACCTCCTGAAAGCTGACTTTGGCACAGGTGGGCCCCATTCCTTGGTCTCAGTGAGTCCTTGTCAGCCCTGGTCATTCCCACAAGCTGAGGACGTGTTAACTGATGTGTTCCTTCAGCTCATCATTGTTCCTCATGATAAGGTTTCAGCCAAGTGTTGGCAGGACTTCCAGCTGTAGGGGTTGCTATCAACTGGAATCCATTCAGGGAGGTCCTAAGGAACAACCCTGGGGTTTCTGTGGTGGAGAGGGACAGATCTTGTCGTCCTCCTCCAAACACCTGCCAGGTCACTGCCAGGGTTCCTCTGGAGGCACGTGCACATCTCCATGCTGTGGGCACCTCCTCTTTCTGTTCAGAGATGAGGCAGAGCTGTCAAGAGCCAGGGTGAGACTGGAACCCTGACGAAGCTGAGGAACCATTTAGAAATGTCTGTGCTCGAAGCAGCATTGAATATGTAAGTAGTGAATATATTACTGAGGGAATTTTCCATGTATTTGTTAGTCAGATTCCCAACTTGGCGGTTGTGTTAATACCTCAGCTGCTCCTGGATGCATTTGCAGCAATGATGTGGCAAAGGGCTTTGTTCCACGTCCCTCTGTAGAGTGGGGCACTATATTTTTATAAAGGTAGGGTTTCTGAGATTTATTCCCTACATTTGTCTCCCTGGGATTAGGGTGGTGTATGCTCTTTCCGTGGCACTGTGCCAGTCCCAAACTGGAGCTGTGGAAGGCTGCAGCTGTCTGCTTGTTATTAACTGAGGGTTAGTGCAGGGACCGACACACGTTGGTGCTCCAACACCCAAACTGTTTTCCAGATACTTCATGAATGAAAGTTTAAATTCCCACTTTAGGATAACAAACCTCTGAGTCACATTCAGTCCTAAGATCCCACTTGCAAATGGTTTATGAACTTACAGAAAGGAGTTTTAACTCCTAGGACTCTTACAAATCTCACACCCAATTAAACTAATTCTAATGAGTCAATAATAATCTTCTGCTGTCCTCACTGTCATCCCCAGCACTAACCATACATGTAGTCAAATGCTGGGACAGACATCCAGAGAGGCTGTGGAATATCCACCCTTGGAGATATTCACAACTTGACTCAACAAGACCCTGACTAAACTGATTAAGTTGGTGCTGCCTTAAGCAAAGGGTTGGATCAGATGATCTTCAAAGTCCATTCCAAACTACATTATTCTATGATTCTAAAATACATTTTGCCTAAAATATTTACTAATAATTTATTAATTCTTTATTAATTCTTTTCCCCTTGGAAAAGCAGCTCCATTTGGAAAACTGAGTTCTATGCAATCTGTGGAAGTGGGTGTGTGAATTGACTCAATGGAGCTGGGTTTGGATCCACCAGGCAGCTGGAAGGCAGCTTCTCATGAGCAGCTCTGAACTTCCAACTTTCTCTGACCTGGTGCCATCAGAGTTTGTTCCCCTTCAGGTCACACAGCCAGACCCATCTACTCTCTGAGATGTACAAAGGAGAGATGGGTTGGAGGACCAAGGTCAGCTGCTCACAAGGTTAAAAAGGTTTTCTTAGTCATTAAATAGACATTTTTTAATACTGAGATCCATTGTGAAGTCATTATTCAGTGTATTTTCAGTGTTTGGTATAAGCAGAACCAGGGATGTGCTAAGCTGGGGTGTGAACACACGACATGCTCCATGTCACAGCTGGATGTTTGCTCTTCATCCAGCAGGAAGGAATTGAAGACAGGGATAAGAAGGCTAAGTTATCATACATTAGCCACAAAGACAGGAGGAAATATGCTAATAAAAATATCCTTGTGGTTCCTGTCCCTATCCTGGAAGTAGGATGGGATGCTTAGATGGGGCTTCAAAGTCTGAGTTTGTGTTTCTGGTCCTCCTCACTACTCAGCCCTTCTCTTCATTTTTATGTGCCTTACTCAAAAAACACCCTCTCGGTGATTTCAGACCTGGTGCTGAAAATGGGAAAGATGCATTGAAATAATCTGTATGTACAGCAATCTACAAAATGAAAAGATGAAGCCACTGTTTTTGAAGCCTAGTGAGCAATAAAAACCAGGAAAAAATCCCAAGATTAACTCGTGCTTTCTATCTGCATTTAGCACTGGCTCTTGCTGCTGGTTCTCTCCCATAATTTGGGAGTAGATTATTCAGTGTAATGTCCTGAAAAGACCAAGAGGTTCCCAGCATACCTTAGAGGGGTAAGAGACTCATAAAATGAATATATGGGAAATCCACCTGGATTAAATGGCTCTGGAATAACAGAAGGAATTTCTGATCAACCTTCAAGTGTTCTTTTTCTCCAAAGAGCAGTTGTGTACAAAGGCACTCATAGAAAAAATATTGCAGAAATACAGAGTAACACCCATGATGGAGGAGTGTTGTATTCTTACAACTGCAGCAAAAATACTGGTAAATATTGGAGAAGTATTGCTTTTATTATGCTTGTCAGCTGTGGTCTAATGAAGGAACATAAACCTCACCCTTTTGGAATATTCTGAGGGATAATAATTAATATAATGTATCTAGAACACAATTAAACTTGTTTCTAGATAATAACAATAACAACAACAACAACAACAATAATAATAAAGGATTTTATGTTTTGAAGATTTCAAGATGGTTAATTCCAAGGAAACAAGAAACTTCAGGTGGACATGGAAGGAGAATTTAAACAAACTGACAGTTTGTCTTCAGAGGATCTCCCTGCAGAGTATGTATTTACCCAATTACCCCTCTGAAATGTTATTTTCCTAGTTACAAAGCACCATGTAAACCTATCCCCCCCCATGGATCCTAATGATCCTGGCTATTATTCAGCAGCATAACAGGTGGAGCTCAGAGCAGCGAGCCCTTCCCTTTGAGATGCAGCGTGTCATCATGTCTGACTTGTTCTTGAAATTAAATGGTCAGAATATGTTAATCACAACATCCAGGACAGAGTGTCTGTCAGACAAGTGCTAATGATTGCTCAGAGTGCCCCAAAGACAGAGATGTTGGCTTTGCTGGCTAAAAACTCGCTGTTACTCTGGAGCAGACCTTGCCCTTGGCTGCTGATGTCCCAGGCTGGGCAGAACATGCCCCAAATGCTCCGGGATCTTCACAGCTCTTGCCTTGGTGATTCCATTAATGCAACAATTATAGTCGGGTGTTAAAAGGCAGGTTTGCTCCTGTGAATTACTTCTGAAGGGAACTGAAGATGTTTTACAATATAAGCATAAATGCCAGGGAGATGACACGGGGAAAATGGATGGAATGGTCTCCAGTTTCTCTCTAAATGGCTGGAAAGAGTCTTCTGAAGGTGACAGTGAGGAAGGGCAGAGTGTCTGAATCACCTGGACATCTCCTACATTTTGTTGGAAATGTTCCTTACTCAGATGAGCACTCTGAGGTGTGTAATAAATTCCTCTGATGGTCATAGAATATAAAATAATTTTTATTCAAGATAATCAGAATGTCTGATATCTTTTGACTGTCAGTTGTTCTGGTGATGTACTTTCTCATGTTTTAGACCTTTCATAATCCCAGACATATCAACAATGGACAGTCCTGTCCAAGTTAATCAATAACCCACTTCAATTTTTTGTAAGGAGCAGAATTGCAATTTATCTTCAACAAAAAAAAATCGACCTCAGGGTTGTTTGTTTTTTTTTTAATGGTAGATATTTAGAGAGCAAAGATATTTTTCAGGCTCTCTTTACCCCACAGTCTGTATTTTAGGATTTTGGTTCTTTTCCTTCTCTAATGCCTGTCTAGTTACAGACTCCTAAGTCAGCAACATGAAATCTAATTATGTAAGTAATTGTGGGCATTGTGCAATGAAGGGCATCCTGTGATAATCTAAATATGCTGTGTGTACAGTGAAAAACCCTATAATTCTAAAGAAAGAGTCTGAAATTGCTTGTTATTTGTAACAGCATAAAGTACTGAACATTTCTGCTCCATTAGAGTGATATGCACTTTATAGTTTCTTCACACACTGGAACTCATTCTCCAGCAGTTGGTCACCAGGCCTTTCTCCAAACTATAGATTTTTAACCAGTGTTTAACATAAAAAGCTGATAATATCCTGTTTGTCAGATGTTCTGAAAATAATGGGGAAGCAGACTCTGCATGTTTGAGCAGGACGTTTCCAGCATTTCAGGTGTCTGGTACAGTCGAAACATGAAAACCACAAAACTATTAAATAATAGTGGCCTTCCTGAGTGAATGACATGTGATAGCACAAACTTTTTTCCAATGTCATCAAGGTTTTCCCTTTTTTTTGGCAATTGTTTATTCAGTGGCTATAAAACTTTGGGGATGCAGTGTCTCGATAACATTAAAAACCAAATAAGCACAGGATACAGATCTAGAATAAGTTGGCATCCCAGGGCACTGAAGAAGTACTAATATCACTTCTGTTTAAGAGGAACCCGTTTCCTTTTCATTATGAGGGGGCAGACTTGCTTATTTGTGTGCCATGACACTATTTACAGGCTCAGAGAGCCCCAGATTTGAGGCCAGAAGGGACAATTCCACCCCAGATCCCCATCTCGGGTCACACAGGAACGTCCTTCATTCAGCAGTTCTGCACCAGGTCCCAAATCCCGATTCACTGAAACCACACGATGAGAAAATCATTGCATCTTAATTTGAAGTGATTCACAGAAAGTACAGCACTGCTGGGAGTGAATCAAAGTCCTATAAATAAAATGCTGTAACCTTAATGTAAAAAGTGCATCCTGACTCTAATTTGTGATGGCAAAACTTCCAGCCACTGGTGCCTTTTATATCTTTTAATTAGTTTCATTTTCCAAACCTTAAATCCTGCAGTGGTTTGCAGCTCCATGAACAGATGGCCTCTGTGTTTCTTTACATTTGCTAAGATTTGGGAGCTAATGGGGTGGCTCTGTCTAAGATTTTGTAGCTGCTTTGGAGCCGTATTCTAAAACTTCACCCTAAGTGTTACTGTTCACCACTTGTGTTTAAAGTTCTAATTCATGTTATTTCATACAATTTTGAGGGAGAACATTTTTATGAAGTGTGGGACTATAATAACTGCCTTCACCAGATCGATACAAGTCACTTCTTTGTTTTATTGTTTAGAAAAACAGTGCACCTCCTTTTAAAAAAGCCCAATTTTGACTAAAGAAAACGGACAAATTAAATGCAAGGAAGATGTGCAGTGTTCAGTTCTGTGCCCCACTTTTATTCCTGCTATGCAAAAAATTTATTACTTATTGTCTTAAAGCTGTACCCATGTGTTCAGTCACGTGGCCAAAGACAGCAGTTTTCCCTGTGCTATACTGGATCATTTTAAACAACTGTATAATTACCCACATCTGTCTACAAACTGCTTTACATCCACATGGATCTGGACCCTTTTGGAAACAGGACAACAACAGCCTCATTTGTCTGCAAAAGAATCAAATGCTAAATATTTAACTGAATTTATTTAGAGTCATAATACCACCTAAGTGCAAAACCTTAAAAAGAAGTCTCTATGACAGTTGCACATGCTGTAAAAATTTAAAAATTTATCTTCCAAAAAAACCTAAAAAATTCAGTGTTTGGGTTTTTTAAACCCCCGTGTCATGAATTAAAAAAATACCAATCAAACAAATTGAAACAGAACACTTTAGGAATGTTCTGAAAGCAGGCACATAAAGCATCACTAAAGTGTAAGGAAAGAGTTTAAATACTTTGAGTTAGTGGTTTATTTATTGTTTATATTGTGTATTGTTTATATACTGAGGGAAGTAAGCAACACTTCTGTGCCCCTTGTAGCACTTTTGTGGCCTAGATGAGAGTTCCAAAATACAAACTGAGTTAATTTTGAGACCAGGTTTTCTGTGGAGTCAGCTATGGACAACCTGTCTTAGTAGAAGTCACAAAGCCAAATGCCACTGGTATGTTCTGATATGTTATTCAGACAGTGTATACTCATAGCTGTGCACAACCAAAGCTCTCCAGCACTGCAACGAGCAAGGTCAACTTGGTTAGGTGAAGCTCTGTTTTTTAAATTACTCTTAAAAAAAAAATGTAGCCCTAGGGCTTTTAATTTTCCTGGTATATCTACCATATTTCTCAGCATTTGCTATTAAAGCACACTAAAATAGTTTTATAAAAGCAATTTTTTTAGTTTGAGTGTTCCAAAGTAGACTGTCCAAGAATAGATAACTTAGAATACATGTCCATTAATAAAATTGTAATGTAGCCAGAAAACAGCTGTGATAGTACTTTTAAAAGAAAATATACCACTTCATCACCCTGCTTTGCCAAAAGTGAGATAAATGGTGCTGCAATGAGTTTTTCCCTTTGAAGGTCAGTGTCCATGCTGCACATGAAACGAATCCCTGCCATTCCTGCTTCACGAGAACAATATTAACATTCATGAACATTTCAGCTTAAAGCATGTGATGAGTTTGGTTAAGAAGAATGATGCCAACTCCTCATCTTCTCTGGGTCCTTATTTCATGAAGCAAATCAGTTTGTTCCTCTGTGAGGAAGGACCTCCTGGAGCTGGGTGAGTGTCTGTGGCCATGGTGACCTGTGGCAGTGGAAGCCCTTTGCAGGACAATGTCTGACCAACCTGATGCTGAAAAACAGCTGCTAAAGCGGGTGAGCTGCTTACCCTGGGCTTGCTGATGCTGCTGAAATTGGTGCAGCACAGAACTGGTGCAGTTTTTCAGAGCTCTGCAGTGTGTACAAGGCTCAAAGGTCAGCTCGAGAGCGCTGCTTTGCAGGACTGAGAACACCAAAGAAACTTTCAGTCCTATATAGGATTTATTAAGCTCATTAAAATAACACCCAGTCCTAAATGAGCCACGGCTTTGCTTAGTCTGTGTTGTGGCTCTTGAAACTCGGGTGTGATTCCCTCACACAATAGCAGTGAGAAGCCACAGATCAGAAGCAGCTGCCCCCGTGTCTGCAGAGGGGAACGTGCTCCCAACAGGCAGCAGTTTCTGTCCCACTCCAGCTACCCGTTTGTCTCTGTTTGAGTCAGAGGCTCAAGGAACCTTCTCAGAAATGGAGCTACAGACTAGTCACTTTAAAAGAAAAATCCCCTCAAAACTGACTGGAAACCAGCCTTGGTTCATCCTGTGCCTCCCTCAGTTAGGCTGTATCTGCCACTGCAAAGCCCTGTTGCGCTGCTGTATAATCAGAGGGGGAATGAAAAGATAGGTCTTGCTATCAGTTCTGTGAGATCTGAGGCTTATCACACAGTTCCTCTGCTAACCCTCAGGCTTACTACTCAAGTACTTTCCAAATCTTGAGCAAGTGATATATCAAATACTAAATATCTGTCGGCAATCCCCAGATATCCCCTCGATGCCAGGGAAAGTGTATGTATTTAAATGCACATCCCAAACATACCCTGGTGATTCTCGGTACTAAACAACATCCTCTGTGTCTCACCCACCACTTGGAAAGATCAACTGCCATTACACTGCAACTTTTAAGATGCTTGTCATGTTGGAATGGCTGCCTTTTGGTGGTAACAGGGGCAACAGCAGCTGGACGTGAAGTAAAAAAGATGTTTAGAAAAAGTTCTGTTAAAGCTGTTCTGAGCTGCACAAAATCCTAGAATTAATAAGGGAATCTAGACATTTTACAGAAGTGTTATATTAAGGCAGAACTTAGTTAAGTTACCTAAAGGGATTCTGCCTTGTGGCTTGGGTATAAAAAAGCATTAAAAAATACTGTCCTTGGTTTATCACCTGTCCTTTG